GTCTTGGTGGACCTGCGTCTCTGTGGGGCAGATGGGCTGGGAGAGGGGAAAAAGACTGTTTTACTAGTTTTGCTTTCACCATTGTAAGAGTAATAACAGCAGCAACAATAAATAACAACGCATAGTGATGCTATGTTTCTCTCCACAAAATCTTCCTTGCTGTTGACAGAAACAGAAGCTCAAAGAGACAACATTTTCATATGATCGAACCTATCTGAAAATTTCTTTCACCAATTATATTCTCTTGTATTTCACTGTAAGGATAACAAGTTTAATGGTCATACCCAGAACTTGGAACAAGAAACTAATACTCCTGAGTCTCATTCCCAAGACGACATAACAGTTAGGATGCCACAATCTAAAACATTTCCTAGGAAAAAATACATAGACAATATTCTACTAAAATTTCAAACAAAAGAGCTCAGTAATTGAATTGCAAACCTGCCAAGTATGTAAAAAAACCCCATAATAATTCATTGACCCATAAAGCAAGTTATCTTTTCAGGTACAGACAGTACACTGCTTTCCCTAGTCTGCATATAACCTCAGTGCCTTGGCAGATGCCACAACTTTCAGAAGGGGCCCACTTCGTCACTTAATTAATAGTATTCAAAGTATTTAGGAGAGCAGTGAAGCCAATAAGAACCTACAAGCAAAGGCAGGCACACGGGTATCAGAGAGTGTGGTGGCAAAACAGGAGGGAAGGACAACAGGAGTTAGTCAGTTCTCCAACCTCATGGGTACTAAGCAGCAGCCGGAGGGCTGGAGAAGCAGAAAGCACTGCAAGAACCAAACTGTTCTGGGACATGGGGAATATTCTCTTTTCCCTTCCAGGAGCCAAGCTACAGCTGTAAAGGAGCCCTGCGTGTACAGAGGCAGAGTCTTATGAAAGGTTTTAGGAAAGCACTGATAGGGATGGGTAAGGGTGTGTGGGGTGTGTAACAAGCACAACAGTTTCATCAAGGAATCACCCTGTGCACTCACAACCCCCTGCAACCTCTGGCTGGTTGTGAAGGTTAAAAACAAACAAACAAAACATATAGAGAAGAAAATTAAATTACAAGCAACAGATAAGGATCTCCACCACGTACCTATGATTCAGCATGAATATCGCTGACATCCTACAGCTAATCATCTGCACTGTTTAAAGATTGTATTCTGTTTGTACAAGAAATCCAGATGGCTGTTCTCACCTGAGGCAGCTGTAGTTACACAAAGCCCCTGTTCTGTTTCATTGTTTCTAAAATCCAAGCTATACACCACAATTTCAAAAGTAACTACCACCACATTTCTTGCTAATTTTAAAATAAATTTACCACTCTAGTCCTGCTAGCAATATTGGCAAGTCCTCTGGAGTACAGACAAGCCTGAAGGTTGCCACATGCAGCAGTTTCAGTTTACCAGTATAACACCACCCAATCCCACATAGAACTGGGTTTGTAAATTAAAACCGGCAAAGATGGCTCTGCACCACAGTTTCCTGCTTTCTACATCTTCATCTGCTATCAGCAAAATCTAACTGTCTCAGATGCCGTCACACTTACAAACACAGTTTTACACTGCAGAGCATGGTTAGAGAAGGAATTTGTTAAAATAACACCAGAAAAAAAAAATAATCAAAAGCCTCCTGTCTGTCTCCTCATAGCATTTTAAAAAACCCCTAATATACTACACATCATCCACATTTACTTTATTTTCTGGTTATAAAAGTAAGGATTTTGGATTTCAAGTTGAAGTTTGCAAGCCAGAAAGATATCGAAGACCAACTTTATAGCATGCAAATGAACTACGCTGCAATCACACCTGCTATGTACTGTTTTTCAACTGTATAACTGATGAGTAAAACAGACAACTAGGAATTCTCCACTCATACTTCTATTTCCCTACCTGAAAAATTGAAAGAAAACAGAGAAGATGACAACCAGATACACATTTATTACTATAAATTCAGCATTGCTACATCTAAAAAAAGTACATATCTACAAAGGTTTACAGAGGTAAATTAGATCTTAAAGAGGGACTTATACTTAGACAAACTTCTCCCACAAAATCTTCCAAGTGACCATAGCTGCAGACTAATAGGCAGTGAAAAAGGAAAAAGAAAAGAAATTTCAAATACCTTTTCTGTTACACCTTGCATATTGAATTGCAGAGCCTAAGAAGGGTATGAATCTGTGGTGTTTTGTGTCTGTATGTATAAAAATACATAAAATTCAGAGCAGTTGTTTTGCAGATTTGAGAACAGGAAGTACCTCTGATACAACTTCACAGTGAAAGTCCCCTGAAAAAATAACTGCACACATACTGCATATATATCAATGCTACCTCCCCTTTCCTCTTTCTTTTTCACATCTGTCTTCAGACAACTCCTCTTCAATGGTCTCCTAATTTGCATTTATTCTGTGGAATTTAAAACCACTTTTGCTACAGGCAACTCCAAATGTCTTTTCCACATCACAACGTAGTACTTCCTTGAAAAATATTTTTTTTCCTTAAGTTACACTTTGTATTAATGTCTTTTCATAAACATTCCAATATATTGCATTTCCCTAATTTTTCCATTTCTGATTTGTACATCTTTTCTTCCAACCTCTTTCCCCTTCAAACTGCACTTCCAGAATCTAGGCACACATGCTAACCAAGATCACTCAGGCCTCTCTACTGTGTTAATCCAGTGGTTTCAATTCAGCCCAAACATTCAATTTTTGCTAAACCAAACAATTTCTTTGGAATGTCAGCAAGAATTTATTCAAAAGAAAACTATATCACAGGAAGGAAAAGCTTTTTCCATAAGAATTTATTCCCTCTACTAGAAGGCAGAATGCAAAGTACCTCAAGAAGTTCATTAGTGATTTTTAGCTCCGAATGACTTTCGCAAGTAACTACTCTTACAACCAATTGTGATAAGCAATGGGAATTTGGAGTTGCATTCAGCTCCACCACTCATCGCTAGCATCCCTTTTTGCCTGCCTCTCAATTACCTTGCTGACACAACAGAATAGCAATGAGGCATGAATTGATTGCTGGTGAGCTTTACTCTGCACACACTTCTAAAAAAATTTTCCTTAACTGAAAGAGAAAGTTTACAATTACTTATAATCTTAGTGGACAGAATGATTACACTCAACAAGCCTTCTAATGGGACTGCTGTTATGTTTGACTATAGCTCTCCAGACACAAGGATATTTACACAAGAAAAACTGAAGAAAAATAAAGGTTTTCACTTAAGATATTCACATACGAACTATACTTTTAGGAAGTTTGTATCTTCCACTCCACGTTACCTAATTTAGAGAGGGAATGGTCAACTATGAAAAACATATTTGACTTTGCATTCAAGCTGAGAATGAGGAAGAATTTAATGAGGTTTTTAGTTCTTTAGAAAACAGCCCTGGATGCTGATTTAAAAAAAAAGAAAAAGGGTGTGTGTGTGCGGCACGAGAGCAAAGAGCAGGTAGTGATATTTTATACGAACAGAAAATTCAAAACATTTATTGTTGTTTTAGAACTTTCTTTTGAGAAAAAGCTATTTATTTTTCAATTATGTGACAGGATGCCACAGTTTGAAGTCATTTTGGAAAGAAAAGGCCTTAAAAATTAGGTACTGAGGGGGAGAACTTGCAAACCTTCATACTTAGATTATGATATTTTTCATAACAGAAACTCATAGGCCACATTTATTTAGGACACTAAACCCAACTCCTCCTAAAATCAGCAGCAGATTTCAAGTATCAGCCAGGAGAAAGCTTAGAGGAAGTCTGCTTTTGTCCCACAGAACTTCACAGTTCAGAGTTCAAGCAGAAAAATATTATCAATACACAACGAGTCCCAAAATAGTTTCTTCCCTCTACTCCAAAGTGTGGATTTTCAGAGGTTAACAAGAAACAGGGTATCCATTTCCTCCTTCACTTCTTTTCATCTTGTAGAGGCTGTTACTCGCTCCTAATCATTGCTGCCTGACAGACACAGAGCTGTTCTTTCTTCTTGGCAATGACAAGAACAAGGATTAGCATGTGAGTATGCTTGTCCCCACAGGAACACCTGAGGCTCCTGTGTGAGCTCCACTACGGGCTTGATAAATTTGCCACCGAACCACCTCCCCAGATTACCTCGACATATGCAGTGCTATTGAAGCAAAATGAACTAACTTCATTATTTGCATATGTCTAAACACACAACTGGCTCACACAGTTAGAAGAAGAAAAAGAAAGAAAAAATAAAGATACTTATACCCTTGGAAAGGGGAAAGTCCCAAAGATCCTCTGAAGCTGTTGTAACAGATTAACATAAAACCTATTTATGTAATTTACTGTAGTTCTCGCTCTCTTTTCCATAGTGGAGAGCCAAGTTTATGGAGTTTTATAGAAACTAACAGCCTAGGTCTGCAATGACATATCAAGCAGGCTCAGAGATACTAACAGCTAGTCTCATATGTGTAGACATATGTGTGCACACACAGATGCCCAGTAAAAAAAGATATGTATTTCTAAAACTTTGAATTGTTTTCCTAAAACCAGTATTACTGCAAGTTATTTGGTATATTACATGAAACACAAAATAACACATTTTTGTTAAAGTTTCTATAGTTGGAAAAATCCACTTTAATTATTCTCAACTAGTTTAGCCAGGAATAAGTATTCACAAAATCTTCTACAAAACATAAGAAACCACTTTAAAGAAGAAATAGCAGTTACAGAGAAGAGAAAATATTGCAAATGCCAGGACATATAAGTTGTTCTAGAATAATCACTTTGTTCCCAGACCACACAATCAAACATAATCACTGAACAGCAGAGAAATCTAGGGGTAGCTTTTATTTTCAGGATACCAAAACTATACTGTCTTTGCAAAGAAAGTAATCTTTTCTTTGTAACATAGGCTCAATAGAACATTGTATCACAATGTATTATGGTTTTGGATCTAAGCAATATTCTGATTTAAACAGCACAGTACAGAAAACGTATACACACAACACAAGAACAGTTCCACTTTGTACTCACTCTTACAAAGTTGTCAGGGAACAAACCTCTTCTGCCTTTGAGCTGTCCTTCCCACCAGCCTCCATCATCTTTCTTGATATTGGTGATTATGTCACCTACAGTGATTGTCAGCTCATCATCATGTTGAGCTTTGTAGTCAAACTCCACTATCGCCTCCACTAAAAGAGAAACACAGATATGCATAATTATTGACATTGAAGTTTCCATGCCTTCGAAAGGAATAAGAAAGCACCAATGCAATGATATATTCTCAGTGAAAGTAATACATTCAGTTTAACCAAGAGAACACATAAAATAGGCAATATGTGATGCTAACATTTGTGGGTAACTGCTACAGAGAGGCTAAAGGAAAAAAACAAAACAAAACAAACCCAGGAATATCCATCATGGTTAAGGCAACAAATGGCATGCATTTTTCTTTACTGTTTAAAGGAAGTTAATTTATGATGCTTCAGCAGTATCTACTCTGGCAGCATTAAAAAGTTTATTTTTATTTCTTGGACAACATTTTAGCTTTTGTTCATGAGACTTCTAAAGCATTTCATTTCTCAAAAGGTTCTCAAATTCATAAGCATCCCAAGCCACTGCACTTACTTTGCTAAATACATCACTATCAACCTATAGAGTATTTAACAAGAATTTGTTGCATCATACTGAGTTTCACTGTTGTTTATACAGAAATGCAAAACTTTGCTGCATGAACATGCTCTTGCAGCGTTTCGCCAAAGGGAGAAAAACTTACTTTCACTTGAGATTATGCATCAGGGGATCTGAAGATTAAATACTCCTCGTGCTCTGAATGTCTGTTATTAGACAGAGGTGTGTTATAAGCTTGTTACCATTATACGGTGTATCTTTGTCTTTCCCTGGGACAAATCCCCATCCCTTGAAATCACACACACAACAAAGTCCCTGTAGAGAATTAAGGAAGTCACAAAGACAGAAAAATTCCTTTGGAGAATCAAAAATAACAGACCTGGGGTATTCAAATATGGAAGCCACAGTTGTATTTAGTGGTTCATCAAATACCTACTAGGAGGAGTCCAATTGGCAAGGTCAGGGATAGCCATATTTGTAAAGCCTTACTCCTGTTTTCTTCAGCGGAAAACCATGCCCCAGGATGTTAAACCAAACATTTAGCACTTCAACCATTGAAACAGCAAAATGAGAACCAGTAATAGGCAACTGCTTTCCACGCAAATGACTGTGCTGTGTAAACCCTGCAAGATGCGGCCAGCAAACAGGCAATACAGCTCACAAAGCAAAGCAAACCATTACACCACAGTAAATGGGTTCTGCCTAAATAACAGAAGCCCTGAGGACTAAACTGAATAAGTTGACATGAAAACAGCTATTCCTTTCCACCCCCAAAATGTCACACTGACACAATGCTGAACATCTCCCCCACTCCCCCAGAGCCTGCAAGTCATCACTAAAAGAATGTTATGACTTTCAGATACATTCCAGGTGCAAGGCTACTGTTAGTAACTCATCTATTGCTTCTTCCATGAAGCCCCAAAACATTATAAAACCAGTTCACAAGAGGTCTGCTAAACTACACAATGAAGAGCAGAAGAGAAAGAGTGACACCACACATTACAAGCTGACATGTAAACAGAACTTGAAAAATTTATCACTGAACTGAAAAATCAGGGTCATTCAGGCTCAGGGCTTTGTCCACCTGGGTCTTGAAAACCTCCAAGGTCAGAGGTAGGGCACGCAAGACAACCTGCTCCACTGCTTGACCAGGAGAAGTTTTCTCTCTACAGATGATTGGAACCTTTCCTTTTTCAATCTACATCCATTGGTCTTGTTGTCCCACTATGCACTGCTTTGAAGAGCCCGACTCCACCTTCTTGGTAACTTCCCTGTAGGTATTGTACGGCTGGTATTAGGACCTCCTGTTTTCTCCAAGCTAGACAATCAGAGTTCCTCTCGCCTCAGGTCCCTCCACTCTTTAGCATGTCAACTGTTCCACCAATTTCATATCAAACACAGACTTGAGGGGAGTGCACTCCACTGCCTTCTCCAGTAACTGACAAAGATGTTAAAAGGAACAAGTATTAGGACAGCCCTTGATGGTACTCCATTAATTATCAGCTTGCAAGTAGAGTACAACCCATTAACCACTACTCAAATCACACATTTGAGGTTGGAAGGTACATCTGTAGGCCATCTAGTCCAAACCTCCTTATTCAAAGCAGAGACAGCTAAAGCATAGGTTGCTCAGGCCTTGCGCAGCCAGGTTTTGAATACCTCTGAGGATGGAAATCCCAGTGTTCAATCACCTTTAAAGTTAAAAAGGTTTTATTACGTTTAAAGGGATTTTCCTGTATTTCAATTTATGCTCATTGCCTCTTGTCCTTCCACTGCCTACTGCCAAAAGGACTCGGGCTACACTTTCCTAACCCCACCATATCACATATTCAGACATATTGATAACATCATGCTGAGCCTTCTCCAAGCTAAACAGTCCCATCTCTCTCAGGCTCTCCTCAGATGTCAGATGCTCCAATCCCCCAGCCATCTTCACGGCCCTTCGCCAGACTCATTCCAACATCTCCATCTCTCTCTTGTATGGAAGAACCCAGAACCAGACACCACACTCCAGATGAGCTTCACCAGAAAGGAGAAGAGGAGAAGGATCACCTCTCTCCATTTGCCTTCTGCCAATCCTCTAGCTCATGCAGCCCAGGAAGCTACGAGCCGCTTTTGCCACAAGCACAAGTTGATGCCTCATGGTCTACTTGGTGTCTACCAGGATCCCTGGGGTCCTTCCTGCCAAACCTGCTTTTCAGACACTCAGCCTGCAGTTATTCCTCTCCAGGTACAGGACCTGCCATTTCCCTTTGTTCACGAGGATCCTTCAGCCCATTTCTCCAGCCTGCTGAGGCCTCTGAATGGCAGCTTGACCCTCTGGTGACTCAAACACTCTTCCCAGCTTGGATGCATCTGTAAACTTGCTGAGAGTGCACTCTGCCCTACCCTGCAGGTCATTAGTGAAGATGCTGAGCACCACTGGCCCCGCTATCCACCCCTGCCCCACATTGCCAGGGACCAGCCTTCAGCTGGACATCGTGCTGCTGATCACAACCCTTTGAGCCTGGCACTTCTGCCAGTTCTCAGTCCACCTCACTGTCCATTTACCTAGACTGCACTTCATCGGTTTGCCAACGAGTATGATACTGCAGACAGTGTCAAAACCTTTGCAGAAGTCAACGTAAACAACAGCCACTGCCCTCCCGTCCTCCACCAAGTCAGTGATCTTATCATAGAAGGCTAACAGATTGGTCAGACATGACTTCCCCTTCATAGATCCACGCTGACTACTCCCAACCAGCTTCTTGTCCTTCATATGTTTAGAAACGGCTTCCAGGATTATTTGCTCCATCACCTTCCAATGGGTCAACATGATGCTGACCAACCTGCCACTCTCATCAAAAAGGAGGCTTCTTACCCTTCTTGAAGACAGGAGTTACATTTGCTTTCTTCCAGTCTTAAGGAACCTCTCCCAGTCAGGATGACCTTTCAAGGACTACCAAGAGTGGCCTCCCAATACCAGTTAGCTCCCTCAGCACATACCCCACCATGGTCATGGCTTTGCACATGTCCAGTTTCTTTAAACATTCTCTGACCTCATTCTCCTCCACTGAGGGTAGGTCTGCCTTGCCCTGAATCCCTGCCTGGGATTTCTGAAGGCCAGTAGTACTATTAAAGACTGAGGTAAGACATTAAGTGCCTCTGTGATAAGGTCCTCATTCCCATTCAGCCACGGACTCACTTTTCCTAGTCTTCCTCTTGCTGCTCATGTGCCCATACAAGCCTTTCTTGTTGTTTTTCACATGTCTACTGGCTTTGTCTGGGATAGGGTTAATTTTCTTTATAGAAGCCCACATGGTGCGGTGTTTTGGGTTTGTGACCAAAACAGTGTTGATAACACAGGGATGTTTTAGCTATTGCTAAAGGGTCCTCAAACCAGGACACAAAGCCTCAAGGCCTTTTCTGTTTCTCATGCTGCCCCGACAGTCAGTACGCTGGAGGGGCACAAGAAGCTGCAAGGACACACAGGCAGGACAGCTGACCCCAACTTACCAAAGGGATATTCTATACTATATGATGTTGTGCTCACTAATAAAAGCTGGGGGGAAGGAGGAGGAAGGTGGTACCTTTGGAGCTCTGGCATTTGTCTTCCCAAGTCGCTGTTACATTTGATGAAGCCCTGCTTTCCAGAAGATGGTTAAACATCTGCCTGCCGATGGACAGTAGTGATTGAATTCCTTATTTTGCTTCACTTGCACACGCAGCATTTGCTTTACCTATTAAATGACCTTCATCTCAACCCATGAGTTTTCTCACTTTTATCCTTTCAATTCACTTCCCCATCCCACTGTAGTGGAGTGAGCAAGCAGCTGTGTGGGGCTGAGTTGCCCACAGAGGTTAACCCACAACAACACCCCTCACCACATTCAACTCCAGGTAGGCTTTGGCTTTACTAACCCCATCCCTAAACACCCAGACATTCTCTCTACCTTCATCCCAGGTCATCTCTCCCCACTTTCACCTCCTGTACTCATTCTTTTTATGTTTGATTTTTGTCAGGAGCTCCTTGTTTGTCCACAAAGGCATCCTACCACCTCTGCTTGTTTTCCTGCTTGTCAGGAAGCACCATTATTGAGCTTGGAGGAGGTGATCCCTGAAAACCACCCAGTTCCCCTGGATCCCTCATTTATCCAGAACTGTCTCCAGTGGGATTCTTCCAAGCAGATCCCTGAACAGGCGAAAGTCTTCCTTCTTCAAGTCCAAGGTTGCAATCCTGCTTTCTGCTTCACACCCCCATTCCCACTGTCTCCTGGATTCTGAACTTTACCATCTCATAGTCAGTGCAGCCAAGGCTGCCATCAGCCTTCAGATCCCCAAACAGTTGTTCCTCTTTTGCAAGTATGAGATCCAGCAGTCAACACATTCCAGAAACCTCCGGGATTGGCTCATACCAAGGGCATAAGCAAACTGCCTTATCCCTCCAGTAGATATCAGGGTGGTTGAAATTCCCCATGAAGGCCAGGTCCTGCCAATGTGAGCCTTATTCTAGCTGTCTGAAGAAGGCCCCATCAACAATTTCTTCCTGGTTAGACAGCTTGTAGAGACACTCATCACCATGTCATCCACATTGGTCTGCCCTCTAACCCTACCCAAAAACTCTCAGGTGGTTCCTCATCTGTCCCACAGCCCAGCTCCATGCTTTTCAGCTGCTCTGCTGCAAGTAGAGTAACTCCCCTTCCTTGCCTTCTTAGCCTGTCATTCCCAAAGAACTTGTATCCATCTATTGCAGCACTCCAGTCATGTCAGCTATCCCATCATATCTTCATGATCCCAACAAAATCATAACTCTGTAACTGCATGCAGACATGCAATTCTTCTTCTTTTCACCCCACACTGTATGCATGAGAGCACAGACATTTCAGAGAGGCAACCAGCTATGCTGATTTCCCATAAAAAGTACAAGAGTTTTCCCTGTAACTCTGAAAGGTATTTCCTTGTTCATATGGATATGCTTGCCAAGGGGCTCCCTTCAGTCCTGTTTTGTTGATTACGAGGTACCCACTGTCTGCACCACCCCACGCATTTTGTTTGCCAACCTGGTCCACCACTTCCTCACAAGATTGTTGGTCATCCTCTCCCTCCCCCATCATCACTGTTTTAAAGCTCTCCTCACCTGGATGACCAGTCTGTTTGGAAAGACACTTTTGCCCCATTTAGTCAGGTGGATCCCATCTTTTCCAAGCAATCCTCACAGAGGGTCCCATGATCACAAAACTAAAACTCTGCTGCTGACACCACTTATGCAACCAATTGTTACCCATAGGATCTGTCCACTTCCCTCTCACAGAAAGGATCAAGGAGAAAACCACCCAGGCTCCCATGCCCTTGATCGTCACCCTAGAGCCATATATTAAGAACTGATACTTGTCAGATCACTCCTGGCAACATCATGGAACCCTACATGGAAGAGCAGCAGGAGTTAGTAATCTGAGGGCCAGACAAGCCTTGGCAGTCGTTCCACAACGTTCCACATCCAAGTCCCTGGCAAGCAACAAACCTCCCTAGATGACAGGTCAGGTCAGCAGTTGGGAGTCTCCATCCCCCACATAGAGAACTTCCCTACTATTATCACTTTCCACTTTCTCCTGGCACTCCTGCATGGCCAGCTTGGGCGCTTCACTGGATGGAGCACCCAGACACTTATCACCTTCAAGAGCACTGAATTTGTTCTGTGATTGCAGATCTTGAGGTGGAACAGGAGCTTTCCTACTGATGTCAGAAGTTACAAACTTCAGACTTCCAGACTTGCCACTCTGGAGTCTCCAATCCTACCCCAAGAGGCACAGACTCTGCCTGGCCTTCATTCAGGGTAGTTGGGGGTTTGTGCTCTTGAAACCTCAGGGGCTTGGAGAAGATCTGGAAAGCCCAACCCTTCGAGTTCCATCCAAACAATTTTTAAACTCACCTAGTTGCCCTGCAGCATACCAACACAACTACTGTGCCATTCCACACCACCTCTGATGGAGTTTCTGGACCCCTTCTGTACCAACTGCTACACAAACTAGAGAATCTGTTGAACTTGCATTATCAATTCCAGTTAAGAGAAAATAATAATAAAAAAAAACAACCTCTTTCTAAAATATGAACTGAAATCCCTAAAAATAGCATTGATATTATCCATATATGTATACTTTACCCCAAAGCAACCAGTAAAGTTGGTTCAAAAGTTGTATTTACACAATAGATCTCCAAAGACTACCGGATTCAGGTAGTGGCACCAAGGTACACACACTACTTTAAGTTTCACACCAACGAAAATTTTTATCTCCACAGAACACAACAGCACTCAGGCTCAAAAAAGGCAAAATTCAGACTATGTAGCAGGGTATTTCCAATTTGGTTGAGCCCCAGGAAAGACCTTTTGAGAGCATGGCCTTATATCCTTCATTTTTAAGCAGCCTACTAGGATGCACTTGCTCTCAGGACTCACAGCTTATACACTGATTTTTGTATGTGCCAAGTCATTTCTCCTCCCTACTTAGGAAGCTTTTAAATCCTATTCACATTTGCGGTGGATGCAGTTACACACTGCTTTGCTCTGAGTTGTCCCTAAGCAACCAGGAGGTGGTTCGAGAGCTGTGAGGGGACACGGAGCAGAGATTCTGGCTGGCTCCAACTACTGATTCTTCAAACACTCCTCAACATTCAGACTGCAGCAAGACATACTGAAGGAAAGCAAACAACTCTCCGACTCTCTAAGTCCCCTGTTTTAAAAGAGTTCTAGTACCTGTTGCTGTGCTTGCAGTTTTCCCCTAGGAAGGCTGTAAAACAGACAGGATTCTTGACAGTTTCATTTTCTTATTAATTGTGTTCTCTGTCTTATGAGGAGAGAGCAAAAGGTAGGACAGGGCTGTTGATTTGACTCTACAGCTGCTTGGGTAGGCTGGCGGCACTGGAGTTATCTTCCTGCAGTTTGTCTGCCTTGCACTAATTCAGATACAGACAGCTGCAGCTGTTCAACCACTTTTGTTTTACTGGAAGTTTAATTAAACAAGCAAAAGAACCCCTTTACTGTGCAGGCTCTTCTCTGTCTATAAAAGTTTCTACTTACTAAAAACCACATATAAATATTTTTAAAAGCTGTCTCCTCTCAGAGAGTTTGATTACTGTAACATAAGTGTGTGTAAGCTGTCAGAGACATATGAGTCACCAAAAACGGACCACACAATCAAGATGTTTATAAACTCTTCAAAGAAAACCAAGAGCACAGTTTGGAAAGAGGACTAAGAGCACACCTAACAAATGTGCAGATTGTGACAAACTGTTGGGAAGGTACTTCTGAGATCACTCAAAATTCTCATTTATTACACTACTGAAGCTTGCAGAGTATATGCCTAAAAGTGCTTTATAATTTATAGGTCCATGCAGTTGCAGTTTTTAAATCAAGCTCATTTTCTCAAGCATGTTAACCACGCCACATTCTCAAACTGGTTTTTGAAAATTTCATTCTGCCAAACAATCTTTTTTGTTTCATTGCAGGTGAAATTTTGTCTTCATGGAAGTTGGATTGATACTGGAGACAACACTGATCCAGGTATACTAACAAAAAAGCAGATCTGAGCTTTGCTCTACATCTGCAAGTACAACACACCTTATTCCTGAAGTGCTGTGCTAGATTTCTCATCAGGAACTGGACTAAAACAGTGTCACAGTTTGCACAATGATTCATGATGTGAGAAAACACTCCATGGACAGTGAGCTCAAACTAATTTTATCTGTTAACCAACAAAGGCTGGTCTTAGGCCCAGCTCTGCCAAGGTAAACAGCTTGCTACATTTACAGCCAAAACCTGAATCCTTTTAAAGCCAAAAGCAAAATAAAATGACAAAATTCAGGCAGACAGATCTGACTTCTCTTTTTGGTGCATTTTTCTTTGAAATATTGTACCCCATGATGCCTGAAAGTCAAACCTGCCCCAGCTTGCAAACTCTATCTATTAGACTCTTTCTGTTGGAAGAAGGCATTTTTCACGTTAGGAATGAAATCCAATATCAAAAGCTATTCAAGTTATTTTGATCTAAAAGGGGAACGTTCATTCCCATGCCAACACAATCAGCTATTCCTAGCCTTATATTGCCATCAATTGAAATTGTGACATAAAAACTCATGAAACAGAATCAAAGCTAGTTATTAACAACCCTGCTGGATACTGGCACAGTACAACTCATTACTGCAATGTCAAGGGACAAAGATTTTTTAATTTAATGCGTAGTGGTTTGGGTTTAAAATGCAAAATTCGAAATGTTAAACGCTACGAACCAGGGATTGAAATGTAACCTCTCAGCCATATTTAAAATAAGCATATCTGGAAAAAACCCTGTTGATTAAAAGTTTAACTATTCCCACCTTTCATTCCCCAAATTTGTCTTACATGTACACATGAAATTATTGTGTTGATAATTGCAAACATTTTTCCTATTGATTAGTTTGTTTCCTTGCCACATTTTATATTACAAGTAAAATCTGATCTCTTAAAACTGACCTGTTCAGAATAAGCATTTGTTTAATAATGCCACCAATATTTGAAGACAAAAGCATCTCAGTTTATGCTATTTTCAATTACTGTACAATGTCTTTCCAAGCAAGAAATGAATTCAGAAAAGAAACAGAGATTTGCTACTGTGCAACAAAAACTATGTTATTAAATCAGCTTCTGGTGACATTTGAAGTGTGTAGGCACAATGGAAATGTTATTAACGTCTTTGGTGCTATTCCACCCAAGTAAGAGCATCCATATGGCAACACTACCTTCTGCAGCAGTATGGTTTCACACCCAAATGCAGGCCTTAAAACTAGAGTACACAGTTAGACACAGCAGTCAAAGAGTTAAGGGCTTCTCTACTGTAAGTTTTATGTTTTCACTTTTGTTAGACACTCAGCTTCATGTGAATGATAAACATACATGTTGCATTGGCTTATCCAAAAACCCAGAACTGAAACTAGACAAACTACCTGCAAATATTCTACACTAAATCTTTAAAGTTCAAATTACATTTCCTCAGAAGAGAGTGCAACAGAGCTTTTCTCTTTTGCATAAAGACAACCGTTCAAAAGTAACAAGGTCTAACAGCATGAACACACATCACACAATAATCCTACTCTTACGTCAAACCCTACATAAGCCTCTACAAGGTCTCAGTGACCACAGTAGGGTTCATGTTCTCTACCACCCACAGTAAACCGAGCAATTAGCAAAACCTATAAATTAAGAAGTTGGAATGTGTTGCATTTCTGTTACACCACATTTCTCTTATAAAACAGTGACAAAGATTCATTTGGTAGCAAATAATAGTTTAATCAACATTTTCATTGTAAGTACATTTTATAATGGGTTAACAATCTGGCCATCAAATTCCATCTGCTCAAAACTTGCTAGACAATATCTTACTTCAAATGTGCTGTTCTGTTTGAGACCTAGGTACAAACTGGTGAATATAGTACGCTTTTAGTGATTATGGGCATACTTTAAAAAAAAAACCAAACCAACCAATATTTTTGCTATACAACAGGGTGTAATAAAATTCTTAGTAAAATAGTAGGAACCACTAGGAGGGAAAAAGTCAGTACTTTTTACTACACCAAATGACAAAGCATGACTTATATTCTGAACTCAAACTAAAAAAAAATAAAACAACCAACAAACAAACAAAAATAACCAAAACACAAAACTCAAACTACATTACAATCAATAGTGCTGGTATCCTAACCTAGTCGTGAAGGACCAGAAGGCCTGAAAACCAAATATGACCTACAAGGCCGTTGTTTTTTGGACTCTAGGAACGCTGAGCAGCTGGCAGGCCAATCACATGTGGGATGCTGTGGTACAAAGATGTTTGAGGGAAGAGGGGGAAGACAGATTCACATAAGGTCTGGCAGGATTTACTACAGATGGCAGAGCACTGATGAAAGGGGAATGCAGTGGTATAACCACTGAATGCCCATCTAAGACTCCAAAAGACCTTCCTATCCAAAACTATCACAGCTACTGTAGGCATCATGCTATAAGTTCTCTATGATTATTATAACTAAATGCTTGTTAGCATCTAGGAAGGAAGAAGAGTTCAGATGGTGTTCTTTTACCAGAAAACAAAATAATCTGTAGTTTCTAAAGACTCAACTCTCTCAATGCCATTACATTTTACAATTCTAGCTGAAGAATCCACCGAATAGCCTTTTGAGGAATCACTCTACCAAAACGGAAATGCCCATTGCAACATGCTACCTCTGAAATGCGCAGAAAATAAAATAAATAAATAAATAAATAATAATAACGACAACAATCATCATCATCCACTAACTTTACAGTTTAAATGTAGATTGCAACTGGGATTTTTAAGAAAGCTTGAGCTCTTGGATTTGTAGCACATCTGTAGCAGAAAATATTAACTTAAACATTTTGTATCTGCTTGATTGCAAGCAATTATTGAAGAATTGTAATTTTCCTGAAAGATAAATTCCAAATTTTGTTCATTTTTTAACATTTTTTCTTTTGCAACACTTACTATCAGGAATAATACTCTGGTAAAAGTATTTGCAAGGATTCAGCTTCATGGAAAAGTAAAGCTCAAGGGGGAGGAAAAAAACAGTATCAGAAGGAAAACCTGTACACTTCAATACTGAAGAGGTTAAATCCATGTAACATAATAAACAGCAACTTCTCTGCTAAGACAACAGCTTTCGGATTACGTTATATTTTTCTGTTTCCCCTTTGAAAACAATGTGGGGGAGCTAAAGGTCATAGTCCCAGAATAGTATTTTCACTGAACCAGTCCGTCAGAGAGCAGAGCAGTCACAGAAGAGGCCACCTAAATCATACTGCACATGGACCTTTTTATGTTAGTCTCGGTCCCCTTCCACAGGCCACAAATGCTGTTCACCCAGTTTTCACACTCGTTGGAAACATAGTAGGCAGCCATGGAGCACTTAGGACAAATGGGAAGCATTTGAGAGGAAGACCTGTTCTATGCAATTCATAAATACACACACACAGGCACAGAACCAGAGGAGCTGTACAGAGGACCCTAACCAAAACCTAATTTGGAGGACAGAGTGAACACTTGGCCTAGGGCTGTCCTGATGTGACCCTTCTCTGGGCACCAGCAGAGCCGAAGCCACTCCAGCTGACATAACGCCTGAGCTGTCCTCCAGGAAAAGAGAAGAGCTAGTTTGGTTTTTTTTTTGTTTTTTTTTTTTTCAAAGAAGGATCGGTATGCTTGGTTCCAGCTTTAAAAAAAAAAAAAAAAAAACAGAAACACCAAGTTATTCTAATGGAATTTACCCGCAGAACAAGGAATACTTTATATTCCAGCTAAGGCATTGGGTATGACCACAATTCATTGCAAAAATCTTGCATTTACAGTTAGGTAAATAAAGAACAACAGTAAGTCAGTGCATTTGTATTTCTGTATACATATGGGGCATTTCCATATAAAATATGCATCTCATAGCAGTTCTGTGGTAAACAACTTCAGGCAGGTACTTGTAATAAACATCATTAATTTGTTCAACTTTTCTTAGGCTTATCAAAGTAGTTGCTTCTCACCGGATTTATTATGTCACACTCATATCTCTGATACAAACTTTTTAAACAAAATGCCAAAGCACATCTTATCATCAGAGATGTTCATGCACATGCAACTAGCAATTAAGCAAGGAAAGAGAAGATCATGGTAGTTCTAAATGGCAGCAATTACATTTGTATTCCTAAAGTCTCCCTTATATACCACCGTGGATCCAACAGGACATGTTAGATTTCGTGGGGCCAAGTTTCTTAACCCTTTTGAAAGAGCAAGATTGCATAGATACTCGTTGGCATTCATGTGGCTGGCAATCTGGGAAGCACTTGTATTCCACTAATTAATTCATCTTTTCCTGCAGAGCAAAGTGGTCCTTCTGCCCTGGACAACAAACTGCTAGAATCAGACTGTTGCTACTGAAAAAGATTAATGTTATTCTAATTCACCAGGTCTATCAACCTGAGGACCTCTCAAATACAGCAGATGCTCCCAGTATACAGCATTCCCAAACAAACTTATTTTTTATTCACATAGCCATCAAGTTCATAGACAATGCGCATTTTGTTAACCCGTAACTGAAGCAATACAGTGACTCTTACAGGCAAAATTATTTTGAGAGTTGGTTCACTTGTTTTAACATTGTTCTTCCCTTCAGTTACTAAGAAGTTACACACAAGAAGTCATCCAGAAGAAATGGAAGACGTTAGATCCAGAGGGAAACATTTAACACCATCATCTTAATACGAGTTCCTGCCTCCTCCAATATCCATAAAAATAATTCGAAGTTCCGAAAAGTATAAAGGATTATACCCATTGCTGGGTTACGTAGGAAAGGAGAGAGGATTGTAACTTAAGCTAAGCAAACAAAGACAAATAATTCCCATTTGACAAACTATATATTCATAAAAATTTGCTAGCAATACTACTCTTGCAGTTTCTAAATCACATTCTCAGACAACTGAGAAGCTAGGAAGGATATTAGATACTTCTTCAGAACAAGAAGGAGAAAGATTACTTACAGCTAAATAAACCTACAACTATATATAAAATTACCATTTGGCTAAATTCATGAGAATTGCTACTGAATGAATGTACCAACATAAAAAGGAAGC